GACGGGGGATGGGACGAGATAGGCAGTCTGCTAAGCAGGAGCGCCGCCGACACAATACGGTGGATAGGTGCCACACGACACGATGCGTCCAAACCAGGGCGTAGGGACAGGTACCTAGGTATGTAAAGGTTGCCTGGAACGGCCCCGTCCGAACTGGAAATCATCCCATCTCAAATCGGACTCGATTCATGTGTCCTGACTCCTCTCACTCCACGGATATCTTGTCCTCGCATCCGGAGACGAATGGGCTGGCGGGCCAACCAGCTAAGCAGCCCTATGTGGTCAGCATTAGTGACACCGCCGCACAACCTCGTCAATCCATCTTATCCTGGGAATTGGTCTGCCTCGTAAAGCGTGCTATGTTTCCCTTTCCTTTTCTTATCTGGCCATACTTCTGTCGCGATTACACGCGGCAGCCCTGTCTTTACCGATTTCTCACATATCCACAGCTACGTAGTCATAGGTTAGGATGTATGTTTGCATTTGGACATCTCCCTGTTTTTTTACCCCTTCTCGACATAAGAGGGCGAAGAAAAGGGGGCAAAGGGGTAGGCAACGGGGAAGCTCAGTTCATCGGTCGGCAGTCATCCGCACCCGCCCGTGCTGAGGTCATTGTCCACACAGCCTTTTCGCATCCGTCCAGTCGGGGGGGGATCGCCTCGTCGTGCTTGGTGCGCGGCCGCGCTCTCTTCGCACGAACCCTCCCGCAGGGTAGATGCAGCAGCACACCATAGTATAGTGCATAGTATATAGTAGAGCTGAGCCAGCGATAGTATAGCCCGTGAGTACTTACTACCTACGTACCTAGTATGGCGCGTATGCAGAGGTGGTGTATGCAGGCTTAAGCCCACATCTGCGGTCAGCTTCGAGCTTCTCTGTCACCGCTCTCTCCATATTCTCTGCCCACCATCGACTCCGTGGTTTGTGGGTGTGCGTGTGTAGTGGCAAGCGATGTGGGCATGCGCCCCTCCCCTGAGACAGAGATACCGACTTAACTTACAGCAAGTCAGGAATGCTACACCATCAACCAGCGACCTTTCGACACTGCTGATGCCGTCTCGCTGCCTCCGCCTCCGCCTCTGCCTTTCCCCATTGGTTCGCCTACGCGGCGATGATGACTGCACAACCCCTCCTATAGGAAAATGGTCTGTCCCCGTTCCCTCCTACTCCCATCCTGTCTCTTGGTGAACGTCTGGTCTGCACATATCCTATGCGCTGATGAGGGAGGGGATAAGCGTTGCAACGGTGCCGACACAAGAAGCAGGTAAGACGCATCATAGACGTCGCCATTCCTACTACCACTGCCGCTGCTGCTGCTGCGGCGGCGGCGGCGGCGGCGGCGGCAGCGGCAGTAGCAGTCGCTACCTATTTCTCCTTCTCTTCCGCCTTTTTCAAACCCCGAGACTCGACATCTCAAAGAGCGATATCGCTTCGTGCTGCTCTTCTCGCCTTCTTCTCTCTTTCTCCGGAAGGGCTGTGTAGTATTTGCTCGCTCCGCCAGGTCACGACGGAATCATTTCCCCGCCAAATCGATATTGATCAGCTGCTCACCTCTTCATTCGCGAACGAGCGTGCCGTGCACAACGTGCAACCTCAATTCAGCTGTGTGTCTCGACGGCACGACGCCACACGGTCACATGTCGCGATCCCCCGATTCAATGAGGATTAGTATTTATGCGATCTGGGTTGCTACCCGTTACCTACCTGTCCAACCCGACAATACCCCGCGAACAGCATTTAGGTAGGCGAGGATAGGGGCGGGTAATAGAACAGCATTGGTTACGCTTCCTACACACCCATTCACGCCCGACCGAAGCACAACATGCCCGTCGGATCACATGCTTGGCCGAAGCGTGTCTCTCTTTTTCTCTTCTCTCGTTACTCACAGTAGTCGGGAACGATGCGGGTGGAAACGGCGAATCGGTGTAGAACCCAATGCCGAATCAGTTATATCGAGACATCTGCTCGTCCTGTCCGTCGCTTCAACATTCGCTGATCAATGAATGAATGATCTGGTCTAGCCTGGCTCGACACCCGCCTTGCCCTCCGTCTGTCCGTCCGGTCGACCTACACACACACAATCCGGATGAACCTAGCCCTGCATACCTTGCCGCAGGGTAGGTTGGTAAAAGCGTAGCTACGTAAGTAGGCATGTATGATGCGTGCACACGTGTATGTATGTGTGTATGTACCTATGCATAGATGTAAGTGCGTACGTGCGTACTTGCATGCCTACACATACACATCCACACACACATATCCAACGCAAGTACACGCAGGGAAATGGGAGAGGGTTAGGTACCTCTGTTCTATGCAAGCTGAGCCATGGCGCGTGAAAGCGTGCCGAGATTACCTGGCCAGCTAGGCGGAAATGCGCATGCGATGTAGTGGTGGCTTCCGCAGTCCATCCGGCCCCGATTTGCGGTGGCGGCGACGGTGCTCCGGGGGGGCCGGTCCCGCGCGCTCAGACTCGATTGATGTCGTACGTCGATAGTACGACGTGGCCGATCGAGACGGCGACGGATGGGGAAGAGAAGGGGAGTAATAATATGCGAGGACGAGGAGGAATAAGAATAAGACGGGATGTTCGGTGAAGAGAGGTGTTCGGCGGCGATGCATAGTGCCCAGTTGGTACTCCGGCGATCGATCGCGGAACCCTTCCGTATTGGTCGGCGTACACGACAGGGCTAAAGCAAGTCTCGGCTGAACCACAGCCCCACACGGATACTAGGTATCCAATATATCACATACTTACATGTCTGGTACAGAAACCAGGTTTGGTGGGCTTTAAGGGCCAGTATGGAGATATGGGTGTACTCAGCATGGGCGCGCTCATGCATGTACGTGTAAGCACCTACCTAAGTTATCTGGTGGAAGGCAAGTAAGTAGGTGTTGTCCGTACGTGTGGAACTGGTCCACTTGCCAGCCTATCTGCCGGAGGCGTGTTCAAGGGGTCAAAGAGGTTGAGGTTGGGGTTTCTACTATGCATGGATGTATGTAAGGAGTACCTCCTCAATATATTGGTCAAATGTTGTTGTTGATGAACCTTGTTCTCTCTGGATACGACCAGAAAGGTGAAGAAAAACGCAGCACAGCAATAAGGGGTGATAAAATAAATAACTAAATAATAAAAACTAGAGGGTTGAGGGAAAGCCCCCTGCCTGTCAACTAGCAAGCGATGGATATATGAGTACATAGATAGTATAGATGGTTGGCGGGGCTTGGCTGCTTTTGTTATTCATTGGAAATGCGGTGAGACGAGGCGCTGGCAGATGGGCGGGACGGTACATATATCAAGGTAGGTAAATGTCAGTATGTACCTACCTAAGGTAGGCATGTATACGTGTGAATATGTGAGTGTACGTACGTACGTAGGTAATATGTACGTGGGTAGGTAAGTACCTTAGGTAAGTCCCTACTTACCGACCCCCCTTAGGTGGTAAGGTAGGTGAGTATGGAGGCATAATGTTGCAAAGCGGAGGACGGCAGGGGGCACGACGAGACGGGGAACTCTGGTCCATCTACTATGGATCGTGGTGAGTGCTAAATGGAGGAGGCATGGATGGGGGATGGGTGGATGGGATGGTGCGTAGAATCATGAGGGGCGAAACTAGCGATTGGCCTGGTCCAGGATGGGGGAGAGAATAGGCAGAGAAGGCGGAGAGAAGAGAGACAGAAGAGGCGAGATCTGACTGACAGAGGTAGATACCTACCTAGACCCAAGGACCGAGAGGATTAGGGACTTGATGTACATAGATGGGTACCTGTCTAGGGTATTTCCCCACGTTGTCTAGAGGTACCCAAGTCGCCAATATCACCCCCACCCACCAACTAGGATACCCAGGTAGGTACATTTTGATGGGTGTTGGTAGGTGATGTGACTAAGGTTGGCAACTCGATACCATACCTACAGCGCATCAACGCAACACCATGCTGCCATATTGGTCAGGCTTTTCTCGGCCAGTTTGTTGGGCTATCGACATATACACACCACAGCAAGCCACTTCAGAGTCCATCTACCCACACATACACACACACATACACACAAATATTTCTCTCTTCCCATGCCATGTCCTTCGCTTAACCCTGCGTCGTGCCATTATGCATAGAGATCTAACCATTAGACACGATACGTTACATGGCCGGAACCGTAACACGAGCCTGGGCCGCCATTGAACAGAGCCCGCCGTTGCATTACGGCAATACGCAACACGGACAAGAGATACTAACCTAGGCACCTTTTCCACACGTCTGCCGGTGAATACATGACCGTCCAACCGCTTATCATTTGTGTTGTGGTAGCCTGCCATATATCAGTGATACCCTCGCGGAGTGCTTCCTTCGACCGCAGTATCTTAGCGAGGCTATCGGTATTGTCGTGAGCGAGCACGTGCTTCGATGAACCCATTATTAAATAGTCGGAAACCTTCCCCGATAGTGATTCATCGAACTACCGACAGGCAATGGGGGTGGGAAAGGCGAGACGTGCGAACTACCCGCTCCGGTAGTGATGTCAGCTATACCGCGCCCGCCCTCCCGTATGATGCCTACACGATGATGATGATATCTATTGACGATAATGATTAAACCTGCTGACGTGAGAACCGAAGTGCCCTCCGTCCCCGGACGGACCTGCGGAAAGGATGGGTCGCCATACGCTTACTGGTGGACGCTGGAGATGCTTGTTTCGGTAGCTGAGAGGCATTTTGATGAGATATTCGTTTTGGTAGGTAGATCTTATAAGAAGTACTTAAGGTACCTTTAGGTACCTAGCCAAAGTTGCCCAATCCTAGGATGTACAGTACATAGATACGTACGTAATCGTGGAATTAAACCCCGATTTCCGACATCCCTCAGTGGGCCTTAAATATGCTATCTCCGACAGGCCGATGTCTACCGAGTCATCGCCGACGAGAGAGACCTTACTGACGGCTTACCTAATTGGGCAGCGGGTTGGTGGGCCAGAGGGGCATTACATCATCGCTTAATCGGAACTCGCGGCGACAATCATCGCGACTCGGCCACTCCGCGGCATACACTGCATCCGACGTACCTACATATCTTGTTTACCCGGTAGGCATGCATATGGCTACCTGCGGGAGGGGGTCGATGTCACAAGCCGCGGTCGCGAGTACACCACCCATCGACGACGCTCGGAAAGATTCGCCATGAAAATTTTCCCGCGAAGCGTCCCTCTGCGGGCAACCCTGAGCGCCGGAGCAGCTCCCTTTGTCTGCCGGTCGTGCCGGCGGTCCTCGCACCGGAAGTTATCTAGCGCGTCAGCCCGCCGGAGAGAAGCTGACTCAGGTCCGCCTGCGCCGCCCCCGACCGGCTACGCGCGTCTCACCTCGCGCCGGCTGATCAGCATCGCCGGTCCTGACGCGCCCAAGTTCCTGCAGGGCCTCATCACGCAGTCCATCATCCCTGGCGGCAGTCGTACTCACAGAGGACAAGGCCGCGACGGGGCTTCCGGCGCGACGCCTGCCGCTACCACCGCTGCGAGCGGTTTCTACTGTGCCTTCCTCAACGCAATGGGCCGTGTCCTGTACGACGTCTTCGTGTATCGGGACATACTGGGCCTCGGGACGGCAGCGGGGTCCGACGGCGAGGCGTTTGTCGTCGAGGTCGACGCCGCGCAGGCCGACGCGCTGGCGAAGCACATCAAACGGTACAAGCTGCGCAGCAAGTTCAGCTGCCGTGTCATTGACGAGGAAGAGTGCGCGGCGTGGCAAGTGTGGGAGGACTCTCCCTCTCCCTCTTTTTCCTCCTCGCCACACCCGCAGCAAATCCTCGACCCGCCCCGGCTCGCACAGCTACAGGGCTGCATCGTACTTCCAGACGCGCGGGCGCCAGGCATGGGTTATCGGGTCCTAGCGCGGGCCCCGTCGCTGGAGCCGCTGCTACTCCCGGCCCTGGGAGGCCAGCCGCCAGCAGGGGGCCTCGCACGCGCCGACGACGACGCGTACCGCTTGCGGCGGTACCTGCGGGGCGTGGCGGAGGGCCAGAACGAGATTCCGCGCGAACACGCGCTACCCCTGGAGGCCAACATGGACGTTTCCGGCGGCATCGACTTCCGCAAGGGCTGCTACGTCGGCCAGGAGCTGACAATACGCACACGACACCGTGGCGTCGTCCGCAAGCGTATCCTACCCTGTCTGCTGTACGCCCCCGCCTCTTCTCCTTCCGCAACTACCGCCACCACCGCCGCGCCGCCGCAGAACCTCGAATATAGACCATATATAGAAGGAAGGGCAGGGGCAGGGCACGATGAGGGGGAGGGGACCCGGCTTACCGCCGCCGACGTGCCGCCACTCCTGAGTATCGGCCGCTCGGGTGCCACGCGCAACCGCAGCGCGGGCACCTGGCTCCGCGGCGTCGGCAATGTCGGACTCGCGCTGTGTCGGCTCCAAGTCATGACCGACGTGGAGCTGCCAGGGGAGACAACGACTGGGGCGCCGTTCGACCCGGTAGCTGACGAGTTTTTCGTGCTCTGGGGGGGAGAGGGCGAAGGCAAGCAGCAGTCGGTGAAGATCAGGGCGTTCGTGCCGGATTGGCTGCGCGGAAGGCTGCGCGAGGACGGCGCGGGCGCGCATTAAGGAGGGTGGGTTAGGCCGCCGGCTGTTCTGTCAATGCTACGGTCGCCCAGTATATATGAATGTGTGAAATACGGCCATTTGGTTCCCGGAGCGGGCCAAATCGTCACGACGAATCTCCACCTGATATATATTACCTATATAGAACCCGATCTGATATGTGGCAGGGATTTATGTTTGTCCACAGCTGACAGCATGCGTGGATTTCACAGGGAAGTAGAACATATGTGGGCGTCAATAATAAGAAGTATGGGTCGAATATATGTGATTCGGCAGTTGACTTCTATTCTACAGCCTTTGATAACTACTGTACACTTCTACCGTAATCTCAGGGGTATCATAATCTAGTATGCAAGAACAGACATTCCAATATGCTAGAGGCAGCAGCACTTTGCTCTCTCAGCTACTAGTAGAGGCGGCGATAGCATCAGAATTGGCCATCGGAGTCGCTGCCTCTTCGACTTCGGCCTTCTTTAGGGCCTCCTTGTCGGCCTGCGCGGCGCGCAGTCTGGCCATCGTCGATGAGAAGTCTCCCTTGACTCGGGGCCTACTTCCTGCCATGGGGGTGGATGCGGACGTATGGGCGGACGTAGCAGTAGCGGGGACCGAGGCAGACTTCGCCAGCGACGGTGGCGATCCCTTCTTCTTGTCAGCCTTTGGCCTCTCGGGGATGTTAGGAGTCAGGGGGGTTGAAGTAGCCTGATGAGTCTCGGACTTGCTACCACCGCCGCTACCACCACTGCCCTTTGCCGCCGCCTTCTTTTCTTTCCTCGCCTCTTTTCGTCGTCGCGCCTCTTGTAGCCGTCTTTCAAGGTCTGCGATCTGGCCGTCGTAACCGTCATCTTTCGGCATAGATTCAGGATCGACGTTTCTCTCAGAATCTGGTATATCGTCAGGCGTTTTGCGTCGATTCCTTTCCTGCTCTCCCGCCTCGGGCCGTCTGACCGGATGCAGTGGCTCTGTCTGCTGTTTTGCGTTCGTCTTTGCTAGCTCCTCTTCTCTTTCCCGTTCTCGCTGACTCTCCCTCGCCTCGGCTTCTCTCATCAGTCTCTGCCTCTCTTGAACACGGCGCCTCCCGGCCTCCGCTAGCTGGTTCCTCTCAGTATCGCTCATAGTGGGGCCCTCACGATCGCCTCGCGGGCGCTTGACTGCCCCTCGCTCCCGCGCCTCGAGGTCCTCTACCATCGCTCGCCGCTTAGCGTCCATGGCACGGCGCTGCTCCTCACGCAGAAGGGCGGCCGATCTCGCTCCATCGTAGGCTTCTCGGGCGGCCACATCGGACAGTACATCTCGAGCTCGTTCGAACAACTCCCATTTAGCCGCGTCGAATTGCGCGCCCGCCTTGTCTGGATGGTACTTTATACTGCGCTTTCGCCTGTGGTAAAGGGACATGCGGTTAGTGACGTGGCTTATAACTTGAGGCAAGGGGAAGGCGACACAGAGGTAAACCCAGGGAGAGAGAGTCGGAGGTAAGTCGTCTTACCAGGCGCGGTGTATGTCCTCTTTCGGGGTGTCGGAGGTGACACCCAAGAGCTCGTAGAGATCCCGAGTCGTGGCATATTCTTTAGCATAGGCGAGGAGGTCGGACTTATCCATCTCCCTGGTCCCTTCTATCAATTATAAATATCACAACAAGCGTAGTGGTGTGTGTGGGTGAAAGAACGAACGCCGAGTCGAGCGATGATGATGTTTTTTTATCATGACAAGATGAGAGAGCTTTAAGTTGGAACTCCACCAAAATATGTGTAGACCTTTGAGACCCCCGCCTAATTGAACTCATGCCATAAAAAGGTCATATGCAGTTAATAGGTGAATACAACGAGCGCGATATATACATAAATGTATACCTGCATATTTACCCATACCGTTCGTCAGGCCAGTAGAAGCCGTCTGCAGTAATATATTGAAAGACAGATCCCTATATTCTAACAACTTTAGTATTCCTTTAGCATGGTAATTTGAATGAGTTGCAGAGAATCCGTCCTTCCACAAGTTGTGGTTATTTCAAGCATAGCTTACCCTCTAAAATATAATTATAGCTTCATAATTGAAAGACATGAGAGCTATTCATCGGGGAGGGGGGATGGCTTCGATGCTTGTTAACATGAATTTTAGGTAGCAGGTAGTACAGATTCGGCAGAAAGCTTCCCTGGGATCCTTGACTTGTATAACTCAACGACATATTACAACGGGATTAGATACCTGGGAGGGGCAAAGTAAGTATCCAAACGAGATAAAGTATATAATACTTAACAATACATAGTTTTGCGTGAGAAAATATATAAGCCTATATCTGTAGGTTATAACTGAGGAGATATATGGTAGGAAGATGATGTTCATTGCAGTTAGATGCGAAGTGATGTAGAGGGACGAGAGTCCTGATATATGGAGAGTTTAAGCGTAGGAAAGCTTTTTGTAATCAGAGACAACTTTAGTCAAAGTGAGTTCCGGAATCTGAATGCATAATTGAGAGGACCTACAGCCAAGTTGGTTCTACAAACTATCTCTTCAGTGTGAGGTAATCCTGGTGCCTAGCTAGTTAAAAGGACTTTCCGCAGAAGAGGTATATTCCTCATGGGGCACTCGAAACGTAAGCACTTAATCCCCTTCATCTCCTCTTGTGCTTGCGGTGCTAAGATTAACTACCTGACTGATAGGTTTGAAGGAGGCGGAAGGGAGGTTGTGAGGGATTCGGAGATGGGAGATATTAAAACGGTGGAGGGGTGAGGGACTTTCCCTTGTTCCGCAAATCCACCTGAAGCATCGTATAACCGGTTACTCTGTCATAATCATCGAGAAACTACAACTCATACCACAGCTGGGAGGTGAGAGATCCTTGAACATTTTGAAGGCTCCCGCCGCTTAGACTCTCGTCTCCCCTTTCGTTTTGGCGTCGAAAGCGGGAGCATATTATGTGAGGCTGGTCCTGCGCAGCGTTCGATAGGACTCGAAGGTTTTGACTCCACCATGGCTCATCACGGTTCGACTGAATTTGGTACGCCGTTACGTGGGCATAATGCACTCAATTTCCGTTCGTGTAGTTAGTCTCTGCTGGTCCCGTGGATGTCTTTCAGCTTGGGAGGTTCTGTATGAGTTGTTGTAGGATATAATGGCCTTACAATGAATAGGTAGCGCATGAAAAGTGACGACATAACCGTGGTACATACCATAACCCGTAATGGGTGGACTCGGTTTACTCAACGTGGGTGACTTAATAGGGGGTAGATTTTATCTCGAAACCTCCTTTTATAGCTTTAGACCCCGGTGGGGAATACCCAACCAAGTTTCGCTAGACCTGCCCATTTAAACCGGTTTGGGATTTTGAGACGACACAGATAACCAGAGTTACAAGTCGGACCCTGGCTTGTTCCCGATCTCCCAACAAGGACCGAGTCACTGCTGTAGCAAATCCCTGGTAGGAGCAAGTTACTACGATCCCCTCGCCTTCGAGTTTCGCAAGTACCACCCCATAAGCTGATCGGCCGATCGATCGGATGATCAATCCCCTTCCTCATGCAAACGTAGGACCCTAATAGCGTTCCCGCCCATAACCGCCCTCGCCTCCGCGCTCCCCTCGCCCAGGGCAGCGGCGACCGCCTTCGCATTCGCCGCCGCGCTCTCCCAGACGCCTTGCTCGGCGTCCTCGCCAGCCCCGACGGGTGGGAAAAAGGGGTGGTCAGTGCCGAACATGAGCCTGTCGGCGCCTCCGGCGGCGTCGATGGCCGCGCGCAGCGCGACCTCGGAGTAGACGACAGCGTCGAGGTATACCTGTTCGCGGAGGACTTGCCAGATGCTCCTCCTGCTGCCACTCGACGTCTGCGACTTGGCCTCGCCCACGAGCTTGCCATCGTGTCGCACACAGCTCTCGATGCGGCCCGCGAGGAACGGCAGCGCGCCGCCGCCGTGCGCGAGCACGAGCCGCAGCGCCGGCACAGCGTCGAACACCCCCGCGAGGTACATTCGCGCAACTGCCACCGTCGTCTCGACGGGGAAACCTAGCGCGAGCGGCAGCACATGCCCGTAAGCGCCGGCAGCGCCGCGCCCCCCCCACACCGACGAGGGGAGCCCGTAGTGCGGGTGCAGGAACACGGGCAGCCGGCGCTCAGCGAGGGACTCTAGCACGGGTAGTAGCGCCGGGTCGTCGAGGCCGGCGCCGCCTAGCCCCGATGTGCCGAGGATGACGCCGCGGCAGTGCTTCAGACCCCGCACGTGCTCGACGGCCGCGAGGAGGGCTTCGGGTGGCGCGGTGAGCGGCAGCGTCGCGAAGAAGTAGAGGCGGGGGTGGCTACTCCCCGCGTTGCCCCGGCCGGTGGTCGTGGTGACGCACATGTCCTCGAAGTCTTGGTTGATAGCCTGGGCGGTCTCGCCGGCCTCCTCGGGCGCGACGAAGTCGAGCCAGGGGTTCGCGAGCGAGACGACTGAGACGTCGATTCCATGGGTGTCCATGAAGTGCAGCTTCTGCTCCAGGGACGAGTAGTGAGTGGTAACGGGGCGGCCCGGAGGGTCCTGCTGCGAAGAGGAGTACGATGAAGCGTCGGCGGTCGCGACGCTGTTCATCGCGTCGACCTCGTCCCGGAGGATAATGAGCCGCGGCGGCCCGCCGCCGGGGTACTGCCGGATCATGGGGATACTAGACCGCGACTCGAGGAGCCGGATATATGCTGGGGGGTACATGTGGGTGTGGATGTCCACCACGTGGTGCTCCGGCGAGGCCATCTCGGTGCCGGTGCCGGTGCCGATGTGCTAATCGCTTATGGTTGGGTAATGAGGGGTGGGATGAGACGGCTTGGTGCCTTGGGTATGCGGAAGTAGGATGGAAGTGATACGCAAGGGAGAACGGGTCCAGGGGTCGCAGACAGACAGCAACGGTGTATTTTGTAAGCCCAATCAATGGCGGCGATCAAGCAACCGAACTGGCTTCCCTCTGGTTTACGCTCCGTTGTCCCGTGTCAAGTCGACGACGTCTTGGTGAGCCGGCCCGCTCCAATCTGACACTTCTCTTAAGATACGGTAGGTAGGTAGGTATATACCCATCGAACGGTCTCTTAGCCGGACCCAACCCGGGTCCAAACTTGATGGAATACATAGAAGGAGTAGGTAAGTAAGAAGGGAAAATAGTAGGCCTGGCGGACTAGAGCCGAGAATAAAGCCACTTACCCTATCATTCAGCTCATTCACCATCGTATTCACTCCAACGCCCTCCACACCCACTCCCTTCTTCCCCACACCCCTCTCGAGCTGCTTATCTGCCTACCTGCTTATCTCAGTCTCTCCACATGTCTCGGCTCCGCCTCACGTAGATGAGAGTGCCTTATCTCTACGGCGGGGCATCTGGATAGATATACGTTACGTCGTCGCCCCAGGAAATGTAGGCCATATCTCTCTGCAGCCCTTTCGTACCTTGTGCACACGCTTCGCTATTATTCGTTAGTCATGTACATTACGTGTGCTCCCCCGGGTACGAACTTGACAACCTTGATAAGGATGAGGAGGCCACTGAGGCTATCGTTCAATGGTGTCGAGGTGCCTCAACGTCTCGCACGATTAGGTGTTCAGGCTTGATAACGTCAGGCCTCGCCGATCTAGACAAAGATTCGATATATATAAGCCAACGTCGGTAGCTCGCCTCACTACTTCCTCCCGGTGGCGCGTGGGAGCTTGCGTCCTGGCTTTGGTTTTCTTATCACCACGTGCTGCGACATTGTCTCACTCCAACGAGAGGAACTATCCGTCCCCTTCCAAGCTGAGTAGCCAGTAAATATCCATCCACGCGTGGCGTTTCTCCACGATCAGAGGAAAGTAGCCATGGAGGCCGCCGTGCAGAGAGAGGGTCTCGTTATCCCGGTAGGTTTGCCGCCAGACCTCAGTAGATGCGGTTACGGCGCGTGAGGAGGTGGCTAAGTGCGGGAAACCCCTTTGCAGCTTATCGACTTCTCCGCATTCTTGAACGGCAATCCGGAGCAGAGAAGGGAGACGGCGAAGGCCATCCTCCACGGTTTTCAGACGGCGGGCTTCATCTACCTCAAGGGCCTGCCCATCACATCGGAGTACCGAAAACATGTGTTCGAGACCTCGGCTAAGTACTTCCGGCTGCCAACCGAGACCAAGATGTCTCACTGCTGGACGACGCCAGAGGCGAACCGGGGCTACTCTGCCCCCGGCCGCGAGAAGACGACGTCGCTGACGGATAGGGAGGAAGTGCAGAGGCTGCGGGACACCGTGCCCGACATTAAGGAGAGCCTCGAGATCGGGCGCGAGGACGAGCCGGGGCACCCGAACCACTGGCCCGAGGAGGAGGGGGAGCTGGTGGGGTTCAAGGAAACGATGCTCGGGTTCCACACCAAGTGCAAGGAACTGCACATAGAGGTGATGCGGGCGATCGCGGTGGGGCTCCAGATCGAGGAGACGTGGTTCGACGACTACACGGACGTTGGGGACAACACGCTGCGGCTGTTGCACTACCCCGAGGTGCGCAAGGACGTCTTCCGGACCAACCCAAGCCAGGTGCGGGCCGGGGCACACAGCGACTACGGATCCATCACGCTGCTCTTCCAGGACGCGCGAGGCGGCCTGCAGGTACGCAGCCCGACGGGCGTCTTCGTCGACGCGACGCCGATCGAGGATACGTGCGTCGTCAACGCCGGCGACCTGCTCGCCCGCTGGAGCAACGATAACATCAAGAGCACCATCCACCGCGTCGTTGAGCCGCCCTCACGCAACGACGAGGACACCTATGGCGCCCGGTATAGCATCGCGTAAGCGCATTCCTTTTCTTTTTGGCCCCTCCACTCTCTCTCTTTTCCCTTTTCCTTCTCCCGACCTCCCTACGGCATTTACGGATACGCCATCCTAGTGTTAGGTAGATCAGAGTTGCTGACGATGGGTGGGCGCGCGCGCACACGTGTGTCTCACCTCTACTTAGGTACTTCTGCAACCCCAACTTCAAGAGCTACATCGAGGCGATCCCCGGGACCTACGCGGCCGAGGCGGACCGCAAATATGAAGGAATCAACAGCGGCCAGTACCTCGTGCAGAGGCTGACAGCCACTTACTAGCCGGAGGGAGGAAAACGGAGTAAAACGGCGTGCGGGACGAAGGTGCGTTGAGTGGTGGGCCGTATGTAGCGTGACAGAAACGTGGTGTCTGGTCTGCGGGAGGGGAAGAGAGAGCGATCGAGTGAGACGGAGAAGGCGTTGGATAGATTCGACCTATGCAGTGGCCCACTCAGGGATCCTAGGTGTGATTCCACGTCTCGTGTGCGATTCGTGGCCGTGCTGGATCCGGGATGAGACGCCATTTGACCCGCTTGACAATGGTCGATGGAACCCGCGGTCGTGGGCGATAGATATTGGGTCGAAAACGGTGCTCCTATTCGCGGTGGGTTCTGTTGATCATCGTTTTTTCTTCCTCTTCGCCTCGTCCCGTCTTCCTATGCCTTAGGGTACGATCCGAGTATCCGCAGGCTCGAAATCGAACCGCTACAAAATCATTAGAGTGTGTTGAAGACCTGGTGCTTCTATATGTTGGGGCTCCTGCTACGTAGGTAGTATATCACCTAAGTCGCATGGTGCGCTCGGTGTTGCAGGCCATATGTACATATGCAATATATGCCGCAAAGCCGTGGGGAGAGCCGAATAAGGGGTAAGAAGACGCTAATGCGGTGATGCGCTGTACCTATCTCAGTGGGGGGCTAAAAAAACGTCATTACAGAATAGGCGGTCGCTGCAGCGTTAGTGACGATTAGTGGAATCGGCCCTACGGATAGTGGTGGGCGGCGGTGGGGTTTTAGGCGGGCTCGGGTCGGTTCAGGTACCCCCTTTTAGCGCGTGCATATCTAAGGTAAGGTACCTACCCCTACCTGACCACCCGCGTACCTAAACTGCGAGGAGAGGACCGGCTCGGGAGAAACAGCAGAGAAGGGGTAGCATGATGGGGACAATCACGACACATCTACCCTCGGCGCGCGTGGGATATTACCACGTAGGTCGGGTAGGTATCCAGCGTGGGCTAGGTATCGTCGGCACGGCTGTCGTGGAAAGACCCCTGGCGTGGCCCCTCATTGCCTACGACGACTTGAGTCGCGACGGCTCGAGTCGTCCGTGTAAGCTGCTGCATCATGTACCTACCTAACCTCTACTACGACCCAGCCCGATTCACCCTGTTCAGCCATATATCGTCTTACGCCTACAAATCACCCTCCTCGCCCTCCTCCGACTCGATGGACCTCTCCCACCTCCTCGGCTCTAACTCTCTCTTCCTGCCTCTGCGTCGGACTTTAAGATGAGGAAGACAATTCTTTTATGTTTCATTCACGGCTTCAAGGTGAGTCCCTCGGTAAACGACTTGCATCATAACCACCTTATCATTGGCAATGGCTTATCTCTGACCATTTCTTCCTTTGTTGCCTCATTGTCCTCCTCCTCCTTCTCGCTCCATCATCTCCAACGCTCTCTTCCTCTCTCTGCCACTTTCTCTCTCTTCTTCTCCCCCTTTCCTGGCTTGTCCTCAGCTGCCTCACCGCCTGGACGAAACTCACCGCAAGTTCGTGCATGTAAAACTGACCCTTGCCCGCACGCGTACAGGGAGGCGATGACACCTTTGGCGAGAAGTCCGAGTTCGCACTGCGCCTCGCCGATCTCGTCGGCGCCGCCCTACCCCAGGTCGATGTCCGCGCCGTTACCTACCCGCGGTACGAGACGCGCGGCGACCTTCACGAGTGCGTTGCGCGCTTTCGCGACTGGTTGCTGAATAAGGTTATCGATATGGAGGTCGCCAACAACGCCCCGAGCCCCACTGTCGATCCCTCCGTCCACGTCATCCTCATCGGCCACTCGATGGGTGGCATCGTCGCCGCTGAGACTGCTATCGCGCTCGCCTCCGAAACCCCAATCTCCGCTGGTGGCGACGACGCCTCCACCACGGCCGGGCTCGGCTCGACGGCCGACCTCACGAGCCACCTCATGTTCCCCTACATCCAGGGTGTCCTCGCCTTCGATACCCCCTACCTCGGCATCTCTCCCGGCGTCGTCGCCCACGGCGCCGAGGGCCGCTACCAAACCGCCAACGCTGCCCTCACCCAGCTCAGCGGGCTCTCTAACATCTTCTGGACCGAGTACAACAAGAGTAGTGGGGCTGCCAGCAACGATAACGCGAAGCGGCCCGCCGGCGCCCTCCCTCCGCCCCCGGAGCCCGAGAGGAAGAAACAAGACCGCCGTCCGGCCGGCGGCGGCTGGGGCTGGAGCCAGATCGCGATGGTGGCCGGGGCGGCAGGCGCGCTGGCGGCGGGCGGCGCGGCCGCCGCGTACATGAACCGCGACACCATCGGCGCCGGGTGGGGCTGGGTGAGCTCGCATCTCGAGTTCGTCGGGTGCCTGGCACGCGGCGAGGAGCTACGCGCGCGGGTGGGCCACATGGTGCGGCTCGAGCGCGAGCTGGGCGTCGGTTTCGCGAACCTGTATACGCGCCTCGGCAAGGGCGCTGCGGCGCGGCAGGTCGGCCTTGTCGGGTCCGTCATAGGCGGCGACCGCACCTTCTGCAATCTCCCCTCGGCGAAGCACAACGCCGGGCTCTGGCGCGCCGCTGTCAACGATAAGGCCTGGGACGAGACGGGAGCGCATATGGGTAAGTGGATCTTTCGTCAACGTTTTGTTCCCCCATTCCTAGGAATGTGGTCTTGGAGCAATGTAAGGTATATATAGACGATGCTAACGGCGACGACGTCCGCATTGTAGGCATGTTCGAGCGCAAGGAGAACCCCGGGTACCATAAGCTGTCCGAGGACGCGAAGGATCTGATTGTCAGGTGGGCACGCACCGATTGGTACCCCTCGAGCAGGCGAGGTAGCAGACAACCATCCAGCTAGACGCGCCTCGCTGGATATTTTCTCCCTTCTCTCTTTTTCGGGCGTTCCTGTATGAAAAAACACACATAAAAGCTTATGGTCTTGGCTTGGCATGTATGGACCACGGATGGATCGGATGGGATTGTTCATGGTTGCTCTTATTGTCTCATATACCCTATCTTATACCAACCTCACATGGAGGTTGGTAAGTATCCTCCATCCCCCACCCCTTTCTCCCGCTGTACATATATCTCCTGTCTAAATATATCAATCATCCTGCCCTGGTTAGGCGGGCAGGCGGACGGTCTCGTAACCGTGAGGCGTTACTGGTTCATATCATATCATGAAATTTGAGCTACACTTTGGTAGGCTTGGCCCCTTCCGTCGATATCGCGGTCATGCCTTCTTCTGCTCCTTAGCGGCCTTCGTGACCTTGCGGCGCTGGGCCATCATGTGCGTGTAGAGGATGTAGGCCGCTGCGATATTAGGCGTTGGTTAGCACCACATCCAACCAACTACTAGGGCAAAACAACATGCACGGTCAATACGTGCTGGGTGGGCCGTCCACACTTACAAGGGGGATACACGATGGTGACGTAAGCGAGCAGGACATTCGCGTATACTGGGCTAAGGGTGTCGCGGGCAGGGGCGACAGCGCGCCAGATAAGGTAGGCCTCGCTCGAGATGCCGACGGGGTATAGGACAAAGAAGGCGTGGTAACGGAGCCAGTGGAGGGCGCGGCCTAGAGGCCCCGCGGCGAGGATGGGAGCGCCGAGCGACAGCGCGAAGAACGAGTACCGGATCACCTCGGTGGCGCCCCAGGCGCTGAGCATGGCCGAGTACGCGACCGCCGAGTACAGGTCGCCCGACCGCGCAACCTCGCCCCGCGCCAGCCCTGAGAACAGCCCCGTCACCCCCCACACGATGGCGTATCGGCTGAAGACTTGCATGAAGGTGGTGAAGAGTGGCGCGCGGACGATGCCTAGGGAGAGGGGGGGGGTTTGTCAGTGATTGCATTCACGCGTGTTCCATTTCTTAATTTCTTCCCCGCGGACTTTTCTATCTCTCTTCACGTCTGAGCGCAGCTTTATTTTTTTCTCTTCTTCTTTCCCCCACCTCCCGGGAGAGAGAAGGTGGAGGGTAGGGAGCGGGCCGGTATGATGGGATAAGATGGAACGCGGACGTGGACGGGGAACAGCCAGACGTACCCAGAAGCGAGTGCAACACCTCGAGGCCGGCCAGCGTCTGAGTCCACTTGCAGAATTCGCCGACAGCCGGGTACGCGAGCTCGGGGCCTCCGGCAACGTTGGCAGCGGCGACGCGGCCCAGCACTGTCAACCACAGCGTCGCGGACGCGGCATTATACAAGACGAGGTAGCCATTCTTAATCGTCGAGGAGGATGAGGAGGAAGGGTCCTTGACGCCGGCGGATTTCGGTTCGCCGGCCATTTTTTTCTGGGACGTTTTCGTTTAGTTGTCGTTCCGGGTTTTCTGATCTCGAGGAAACCGCCGATTGTGTTTACCCTTCCTCTCGTCTTCTTTTATTCTAGGTTCCCGGCTAGGGTCAACAAGTCAGCTGCTACCGTATACGGCCCTCCGTCGGTCACGTCGCTGTCGAGTCGCTGGTGGGATGAAGCGCGAGAGCTTGGAGATACAGTGGTTTGGGAGCTTAGACGAAGGGCGGCAAAGTTAGGTAGGTAAGTGAAGTCGACCTCTCAACATCCGAAAAGCTACCCCTGTCTCGCCAGGGAGAGGTTAGGGAGGGAAGGAATAAGAATGGTTGGGGCTTAGAAGTACCCGGGTACCGCGATACTTGGGTACTCACATATAAGAGGATGTGGGTTGGTCTGTGGTAGTACCTTAGTACCTAACCTAACCTACATGACTTAGATTTCTTCTCGAAGTTGAATTCTCTATCTTAGCCTGAGGACTTTTATTGCTAGATGTTCTAGGTAAATAATTTTGACCCTGTTAGGACCAGAAGTTTCGTTAAAACGGTTACATTTCCCGAACCCAATCCTCTCTTGACAGGCTATAGACTCATCCGCTTGATGGAAAACAACTCTGGTGGACAATGTCGATCTTGAATCCAACCGTCAAGTGGGGGAAGATTGCGGCTTACATGCACCCCATCAACCTAGATATAGGTATATCTCAGGACGGATACTTTTCCAGGATAATTGGCATGTTGAAGGGACAATGGAAGCTGGAGGTGATCATGCGACTTAGATTGATGGATTCGGAACCCGGGATTCCTAATGACAGGAGAACGGATTGCCTAAGACGGCTACTACTTCGAAATTGCAATGCAATCTACCAGCTCATCAGGATAGCTCTGGGGGGAATTATCATCCGCATAACTTCGCCAATCTCCATTACTGAGATCTGGCCGCTGAAAGAATTTAACATATTATTCTCGGTACTCGGGATACCGTCCCGCGTCCTCTCAGTCGATGTACAATAATATTTCTCTGTGAAAGGTCACAGCGCGATAGAAAAATTACGTGATCCGTTCGTAATCGTTGAGTGAAGGCAATATATCAAGTAGGGCTCGTAATTGTCGGGCGATGTTTTTCTTTTCGTGAACAGACATGTGGACCACATTTCTTCAAGTGTTTGGTCCTCAATGTGTCTTTTCTACACGACGGACACGTGGTGCAAGTAGTTCGGCTTGGTAAGTTATTCGGAGTGCTTCAGCTTCTTCGAGAAAGACATATTTTCCGGATTTTATGGCCACATTGCCAGGATGCAGGGTAACCGTCCGGGAGACGAGTTGGCGTAAGATGAGAGCGCCTAGCATCTCTTGTCATTCGACAAAACTACGGGATTCAGTAGCCAAAGGGTGTGTCAAACCTTCGTAAAATTCTTCATCTAATTCATCCTTATTGGAGGATCGCGTTTGCCCTCTCCGGTTTCAGGCTTTGAGCTTTTCAAGATATCGAGACTTCTCGGGTTTCTGGAACGAGACCGACGCAACATCTAGGTAGCCGCTGATGTTTTGGGGAGCATGGGGTGTCCGTTTGACCGTCCAAAGTTTGTTCTTGCGATAAGTAGGAGGGAGGCTTGAGATAGAGACGCAGGCGGTACGACACGCAGCAAGATGAGGGGTGGAGAAGTACGCATTGGTAAATAGGACACGTCCCATCTAGGTGTTTAGACGCATCATGCCTTTGGTGCTGTCTGTCTACGATCCAGGCGGGTGCCTGACTTCAGGCATAAACTTCACAATAAGCGGTGCCGGATATCGTCGTAAAAGAAACCGTGGGAGTAGGTTAATGAAGACGAAGTTGGGGTCGTCGGGGGGTTACCAGCTGACTGAAGGGAGGTCGATGCAACGGAACCGTGGCTGGCCGATTGAGAATTGGAGGGAAACCCCTATTTTGAGCCTCATGTGGCTCGTTGAGGGAGCCACACCTACGGTCCTATACTGAACGGGATAACGTCAATCTAAGCCACCCTTAACTTAGCACAACGCACAATTTTCAATTCTCAGCCCAGCGACTGTCTTCTACGTTGGTTAATCCTAAAATAAGGCCCGAATTATTCTGCTTCGCAGAATAATTCGGGCTTATTTTTAACGTAAACGCTAAAAATAATAACCTATCCGGAGGATAGAGAGATATAGAAAGTATACTTAGTTTATTTAATACCGATTTTTAGAGCTACGAACTTTATTTATTATAAAAAACCTAGAAAACGTAAGAAATTATATATAGAAAACTTATAGTTCATACGAAACTATCTTTTATAAATTCGAAACTAGTTTAAATTTTTACGTTAACGTATATTATATTAAGTAAAGCGTATATTATTTACGATAAAAAACGTATATAGTAAAACGAATTTAAGAAGAATAAAATATAAAAGAAATCTAATATAGAAAAATTTTTTTAAAGTTAAAATTACGTAGGTACGTAATTTCTATATTAAAAAAGGGCGTTATGTCTAATAAAACTACGAAACCCTTAAACTTATATCTTTATTACTTCTTTCTACGTTTCTTTTCTACTTTTTTCTACGTACCCGTATTTTTTTCTCGTAATATACGTAGGATTTCTCGTAATAATTCGTTACTAGAAAGAGCGTTAATATCTAATCCTTATTACTTTATAACCCGCTCTTCCGCTTTCCGGATTACCTTTTTAGTTTTCTTATAGACTTTATTAAAAGCTTACTTTAAATTAGAATTTCTACGCTAGCGTACTTTATTACGTATTAACGTATCTTTTTATTAATTTTTTTAAAATCGAAAGCTTTTTTTAATTCTATAAATTTAACGAGCTTTAGCTTAGCCTCCCGGGGTACCTTAGCGTAGGTATGGTAGCCCTTATAATAATAATAATAGCGATTATCTTTTATATTTATTAGTTATCGCGCATACGTAACTTTTCGCGTTTTCTACGCTATTTTATATACCGGTTCTTTTTACGTAAGCGTTCGCCTATAATCGATTAATTCGTTTAAAGTATACCTTATAAGGTAACGCTCTTTCCTCGTCGCCGTCGTCGTCGCTACCGTCGTCGCTACCGTCGTCGCTACCGTCGTCGTTATTAATAAGGGAGCGGACTCGGTTTATAGGTAGATTCTATATAGTAAAATTAGCGCCTACGTATATTATTACTTAATCGCGTATTTTTTTTTATACCATAAAGTTCGTAAAATATAACTTACTTTATAAGGTATATTAGGGGAGAGAGGGTCGCTATCGCCGCCGGCGGCCGCTAGGCCGTTAATATTACTTATCGTAATACTAATATTAGTTACGCGGTAGGCGTCGTTAGCCGATAATTAATCGAGGCCTAGGTTAGCGAGCTCGGTAATCGAAATCCTAAATACTACTTTAATTAATTAAATCCATCGCGCGCGTATTAAATTTCTTACTTTTTTTAACTACTTTAATTTTATTTTATTAAATAAAAGACTACGAAATATCGTTAGTATTTATTTTAAGCTTAATTAACTATATACGAAGGTTTAAACTTACGTAGTTATAAAAAAGGTAGGAGGCGTAAGGAAAAAGGAAAGGAAATAGTAAAAGTAATTAATAATAGGAAATAGGTTATTTTATTTCGTAAATAAGAAAGCGTTATAAGAAATCACGATTAAAGGAAGGTACGGCGCTAGTTATTAAGGAAGTCGCGATATCTTTATACGTTAGGAAGGAGCGACGTACTTTAGGAGACGCTCCGTAATTAAAGCAAGAAAAACGTACTTCTATATAGAAAATAATATATTTACGTTACTTTTATACCCGTACTCTTTACTTCTACGCGATCTAGCTATATAAAGATTAATTAAAGTATTATAAATTATATTCGCTCGATAGAATTAACGTATATACGTTATTCTTATTCGTTATTTATAGCGTTAAAGTACGTTATTTATAAAGGTATCGTAGTAGGTATAAAGGTTAAGTAAATAACTATATACGTAAACGGAAATCTCTATCTTTTAGCTTAGCTTTTATGCCTACGAAATATATATTAGCTTAAATATTAACGAACGTAAAAAAAAACTTACCATTTATTAGCTCCTTATATACCGTATTCTTATGAAACGGCTCGTCGAATATTAAGCCTTATAACGAGGTAACCTTAAAATAGGCGACGTAATTTAACCTTAACGTAAATTCCTTCTCTATAATTCTAACGATAGCGTAAAGAATAGTAATACCTTACGCTTTATAAACGGTTATTACGTATAAGATAGTTAGGGGGAATTATTCTCGTATATAAAAGATATCTTTATAATCGAACTCCTAGCGCTCGCGTAATATTAATACTACCTTTTTCCCTCGAGAATCGCGTAACTTATTTCCCTAAGTATCTTTAAACCCGGGCTCGTCGTAATCGTCGAAAGCTACCATAACTATTATTAGCGGCTCGCGTTTAGAATTAGCGCCTTACGCTTAACTTATATCGTAAATAAAGCCTTAAAAGTTATTTATAAGCCGTATTTCGGAAGAAATATTACGTAATAGTATTACTCGAGCGCTTATATAAAGTAATAACTTAAAGGAGAGGTTACCGGCTAAGTCGCTAGGCGCGTTTAACGTTTTTCGACCGTAATAAATAACGTACGTTTAAATAACTAGCGAATTAAACGTTACGAGATAGTTAAAATTATACTAAAGTACCTTTTTACGCGTAGAATATATACGTACCGCTTCTTTAAAGCCGAAACGATCCTACTTAGTTAATACCGCGGCTATTTTCGTAAATAAGAGCTAGAACGATTCGGCGGAAACTTACGCTAAGCGTAATTCGTTTAGCGCTTTTCGAAAAGGCGCTTAATCCTCGCTTACCTAACGCTAAACTACCGATAAAAATACCGACTTAAAAAAAGCTTTATACGCATTATAGCCGACGAATTCGTTTACCGAAAGATACGTCGAATTAAAAATATAAATAGGCTTTAATAATATTAAGGGTAATTAAAAGAAGTCGCCG